AAGAGAGAAGGATGGGGAAGAGGAGGAGGAAAAGAAGGAGGATGAGGAGGAGGAGGAGGAGGAGGAGGAGGAGGAGGAGGAGGGGGAGGAGGAGGAGGAGAGGAGAGGGGAGGGGGAGGAGGAAAAGGATGCGGGGGAGGCAGGACGACGGTGCTCTCCTCTCACAATATCATCATCCATCCTCCAGCCATCATCCATATTCGTCCATCCTCCGTCGATTCATGATCCTCCATCCTCACTCCTGCTTCCTCCGTCATCAGTCTATCCATCTATCCACACTCCTCCGTCCTCCGGCATCTTGCCGCCAGGTGCCCCAGAAGAACGTGGGGCGCGTCCCAGAGAAAGGCGTGTTCTGGAAGAGGCCCCCTCCCGTTGCTGGCCAGCGCCTCTCGTGCGCCCCCCCCCCCCCCCCCCCCCCCCCCCTTCGGCGGCGGCGGCGGCGGCGCGCGGCGGGCTGCTACGTGCGCCACCCTCTGGCGTGCAAGCGAGCATGCTCCGGAGGAGGGGAGGAGGAGGTTGAGGAGGAGGGTTTAGGAGGAGGAGGAGGAGGAGAGGGAAGGAGAGGAGGGAGGAGGAGGAGGAGGAGGGAGTTGAGAGGGAGTTGAGGAGGAGGGAGTTGAGGAGGAGGAGGAGGAGGAGGAGGAGGAGGAGGAGGAGAAGTCCTGTGCCCCGCCTCCCCTCGTGTTGCTGAAGCCACGAGGGAAGTTTTTGTTGGCCATTATCGGCCTCTGTGGGCTCTCGCGTTGCCCCCTGGTCGTGGAGGAACGACCCGGGATGAAAAGCGGGTCTTGAGGAAGGGGCCCAGTCCTCTGGGCGACGACGATTGTCTCGATGACTGTCTCGACGACTGTCTCGACGACTGTCTCGACGACTGCCTCGACGACGATCTCGACGACGACCTCGGCGACGACCTCGACGACGACGACGACCCAGGGCGGTGTCGGGGGCGAGGGCGGCGTGGGCGGCCGGCGGAACGGCTCGCAGCGCCAAGGTGGCACAGGTTTCGGCGTCGTCTCCCCTCTGGCACATGGGGCAGGAGTGGACGGGGTGGGAGCACGGCGCCGCACCGCCGATGCACTGGCGATGCAGTATCGCCGCTCTTCTCCGGCCCCGCCCAGGCGACCTCCAGTCCCTTCTCCTCCCCTCCTCTCCTCCCCATCCATCCTCCCCTCCACCATGCCCCAGGCCCCTCCTCTGCGTTCGCCCCGCTGCAAGAACACGGCCGGGAACTCCTGCGAGTAGCGCGTCGCTCTGCCGGTCCTGCCGCGCTTCCGGCGCGACGCGCTGTCCACTGCCAGGTCCCCGTCAGTCTGCTTTGGAGTCCCGAAACGGTGCGGTGACGGACCGTGCGGTGACCTCGAAATCCCCCAAGACCTCACCGCACGGTCCGTCACCGCACGGTCTTGGGACCTCGGAGGCCCCCGTCGCCCGAGACGTCCTCGGAGGACGACCCGAGTCCCAAAACCGTGCGGTGACCCCGAATCCCCACCGACTCACCGCACGGTGTGGTCACCGCACCGTTTGGGGGCCCCCGAGTCTGCGTCCCGAGCCTTTCCGAGCCTCCCGCCCCCGCGGGGCGGAGCGACACGCCGTCCACTCGCGTCGGCGTGGCGCGCCGCTGTGGCCGCCGCGGCGGCACGGCGCAGCACAGCCTCCCGGCCGTCGTGCCGCGTGGCCTGGCGGTCGACTTTGAGTGCGAGGAGGCTCGAGGAAGTTCGGGCGCTGTTCGCCCCTGTGGGGTCTCCGTCGCCCTGCCCTGACTCCTGATCCGCCCTACTTTGGGCGATTTCGAAAGTAGGGCGGAAATTTCCGCCCTACTTTTAAGGCCCCTTTGAGCGTCGATTTCCGCCCTTGAGGCTCCTTTGGCGTCGATTTCCGACACAATTTTAGGTCGGAAAATCATCCAAAGTACGGCGGATCAGGAGCCAGGGTGGTTGGATCCGCCTCGGCGTCCTTGCCGGCGCGAGCCCCAGGACAGGTCTGGGGGTCGGCTTCGACGTCGTGGAGGGGGGGGGAGGAGGAGGAGGAGGAGGAGGAGGAGGAGGAGGAGGAGGAGGAGGAGGAAGAGGAGGAGGACCCATACATACTCCCGACGCCGTGGGCTCTGGGGCCATGGGATAAGCGATCCAGGAAGATGAAACTTGCCACGAAGAAGTGGCGAAGTCCTGGGACCTTGTGCGAAGCATGTCGCGGCTTCCCTCAGACCTAGGAATCGTGGAATAGTCACGACCAGCTTTTTCGCCCCATTTCGGGCGGGCCCAGGATCCTCACGGAACGATCCGGGGTCGGTAGTCGTGATTTGTTTCATAGCGTTGTGATGTTCTACGATTTTTTTCCCAGATTCGTGCTTCCTCGTGTCTCAGCCATCATTGGCAGCAGTGCCAGCATGGGCGGCAGTATCGTCTGAAACGCCGTTGTCCAGTCTGCCTGTGCTCCTGCCCATCCTCTTTCCTGCATTCAGCCGTACTGGCCCGACCTGCCAGCATGCGCCACTGCCGCGCTGACAGGCGTGACAGATCTTGTGATGCCATCCTCGGACGCAGTGTGAGACCGTTTCTTCTGGCCTTCCGTCCGCAGGCCCTGGGCCAGTACCGCCGGCCCTTGCGCGGGGAAGCTGTCCGAGCTTCCTGTGGTGAGGTGTGCGGGCCGCTTGGAGTCGTCTGTGGCCATGACTGGAAGTGGTCATGTCGAAGGTCGTGGGCAAGAAAGCCAGGGGCCCAGATTGGAAACTGACGAGTGCCGTCGGATTCGGATTCGTACATCCCCGGGCCTCTTCGACTCTTGCGGCCTTCCTTGTTCCTGTCTGGGGCACGGCGGGGCCTTGTCGAATAGGGTTTCCTGGGGCAGCCTCTTCCACCGCCATCCTCAATATACTTCATTAAATGTAACTCCTCTCTGTCGCACCTCCAGGACTTGTTTTGGCCTTATTGCCGGGCAGTTACATGGAGGAAGGGTGGGTCCTTTTCAAAATGGGGCTCTCGCTCTAGCGCCGCGCGCATTCGTTGGAAACGCTTGCACAAGTTACACAGACATAGCAACAGTTACAGGGATGGGGTACGGTTCCTTCTCACAACGGTGTCCTCGCCTGGGAATTCCGTTAAACCGGAAGACCAGAAAGTTGAACAAGTGTAACGGCTGCACGGACGGTAGGCAGTTCCTTTTCAACATAGGGTTTTTGCTTGAGACGTCCTCGAGCGTGTCGCTTCGTGCGGTGGTTACGCAGACGCGTGCGGCTCTTTGTCAAACCGAGGGCCTCGCTGGGCACCTCGTCGAGGGGCATGTACGTGTACGAGCAAACAGGGTCGCACCGTGTTGCTCCGAGGAGTCGAGGAGAGCGCTGCTTCTTTCTCAAGACGCGGCGCTCGCCGGAATGGCAGGCCCGTGTGGTGCTGGTCTTTTGGGGGGCGCCCCTCGGAGTGAGGAGGAAGGCTTGCGGGGACGTTCTATGACACGGGGGCCTAATTAGGACTCGAGGGTGTACTGCAGCATGGCGCATCGCTGATGCAGCCTGATGCATCTTGGGCTTACGGTGAGATTGCTCGTTCTCCTCCTGCTCCTCCATCTCCCCAAACGCCTACAGCTCCTCTTCCATCTCCTGCTCCGAATCGCATCTCCATGGGCATTGCGCGATGATCGTTGAGCGCTCTCGTTCATGCGCACCGTCACTCTCTTGCACGGTGAGTTGAGTTGTTGCGGCATGGTCGATATAGAATGGGCTTATGCGTTGGCTTGCCATGGTCTTGCTCTTCCTCCTCGTGCCCATCCTCCACCGCCTCCTCCTGGGGGGTCCCCCTGCCCGCTCTCCCAAGAACCCTCCTCTGTCCTCCCCAGCAGGAGGAGGAGGAGGAGGAGGAGGAGGAGGAAGAGGAGGAGAGGAGGAGGAGGAGGAGGAGGAGGAGGAGGAGGAGGAGGAGGAGGAGGAGGAGGGGGGAGGAGGTGCCCTCCTCTGTCCTCCCCGGGTCCTCGCGCTCCTCCTCCCACCAGGGGGCGCCTCTCGCCCCCGGGAAGCCGTCGGGCCGGGCGGCGTGGACGCCGCCCCCCCCCGTCGCCCGCGCGAGGCGCTGGCGGGCGCCGCCCCCGCCGCCCCGCCGGCGGGCTGGACTCCGTCCAGATGTCCTCGCTCGCGCGCTCCTCCTCCTCCTCCTCCTCCTCCTCCTCCTCCTCCTCCTCCTCCTCCTCCTCCTCCTCCTCCTCCTCCATCAGAACACGATGCGTGACGAAAAACTGGCCCTCTCGGGGTGATCCGCGAAGCTCCGGGGACCCTGGCGCCCTCGCCGCCGTCCTCGGTCGGCGCCCGCCCACCTCCTCTCGTCCAGGGGCAGCGGCGGCGGGAGGGCACAGGTCAGAAGAGGATGCTGCTGCTTCCCCAGATAGTAATAATGTTAGCCAGCGCGAGCCCTCTGACCATCCGCTCCCAGGGCTCGTTTCGACTCGATGTCGATGGCCTCCGATTTCGATTCGGCTCGACTGCGGATTCAGTCCGATGGGGGCTCCGATTTCTCAGCGGAGGCCCAGAAGCCTGCCGATGTCTGCCGATTCGAAGTCTCCCGACTCGGCTGCCGATTTCTGTCGATCCGATCCATGTCGACCGCCGATCCGACTTGTCGATTCGATTCTGGGCTCTCCTGCGCTCCTCCCTCGGGAGACAGTGTGCTGAAGCCTCCGCAGGCGTATTCTCAGACACCCGAACGGACTCGGTTGTACAATCCGGGCGGCGCCGTCGGGTTCTGGGGCCATCACAAATGCATCCAGTTCCCGAGGAAAGGGTCAGGGGCTGCCGGGCCGCAGATGGAACAAACAAGACACGGTCAGATGCCTGGGCTCTTGGCCCAGATCTCGGTGTCTATCGGCTCCTTCTCCTCCTGCTCTTGCTCCTGCTCCTCCCACTCCTCCTCCTCCTGCTCCTGCTCCTCTCGTGCCACGCCGTGCGCGCGCGCCCGCCCTGCTGCCTTTTCAGGGCGCCGCTGTTCAAGAACCCGACCTACACCTGCGCGCCGGGCATGACCAAGGTTGAGCCGGTGCCGGTGCTGAAGGAGGACCGCCGATGACAACGACGACCCCAGACATTTGTGCTGTCGTGCTCGTTGAATACCATCCTTTGTTCGTTTCTGTCTCTGGGGGCCCTTTTCGGCCCGGGGGGTCATACGAAAACGATGCAGGATGAAAGCCACCCCCCGAGTGCATCGAGGACCCCCAGGACCGTGTTCAAAGAATTAACGCCGTCGGGGGACGGCGACGACGACGACAACCCACTCCGTCGTCCTATGTTTTGATCCGGGGTCCCCGGAACACTCGCGCGTTGAGATGCCTACCGCGCTCAATAAGTGGTTAACGGACTTATTAGAGGGTCCTATGGTGATGGCTATATTTGGGTTGTAAATGGTTGTTAGTTTTGCTTTTAAGCATTGCAAGTGGATGCAATACTCAGTAGGTGGATCGTTGATATACTAGCCAAATGCTTGGTTACTAAGTCTGTTAACCCTTATAAATGTAACTTGGCACTGAACATATGGTTAGTCGGCTGGTTTCTAAGTGGTTGGCAGATGCGGTAACCCTTTCACTAAGTAGGGTATGGCTGACTTAGCCAAATCATGTACAACATGCTTGGCAATTCTTTAGTACGATTGGTTAGCTAGCTAACCCTGGTTCTCAAGCCCGCAAGCAATATGATAAGTAGTTCCGTTTTGGTTTTCATGTTATCATTGAAGAGGATTTCGCGCTTTTCGATGTGGCACTGGTGTCTCAGTAAAGGATACTGATGTCAAGGTAAGTCGTCTTGTTTGCTGCTGTGCCATAGCATGCGTGCGTCCGGGGTGCTTGCGTGCATCTTGCTCGAGGTTCTCAAGTTGTGCTGCGTTTCTTGTCCATTGCATGGCAGTGGCAGGGTTGCAATACCAACTGCTGACTTCAGTGTGGCAGGGTTGTGTGTTGAAGCCTTTGGCTTGCTGCACCGCGCCAGCATTCGATCTGACCTATTTCTGATGCTGCGACGCAACTATTTTGGAGAGGGGAGGACGCGAACCACCGAAAAAAAAAAAAAAAAATCTGATGCTGCGACGCTGCGCGCGCCATCAGCGAGTGCTGACACGCCGCGCGGACTCGCCCCGCGCTGCAGCGCGGGGCGCGCTGGCGCGGCGCTCCCCGTGGATGGTGACGTGGCCTCGGCCACGGTCTGCACGCGCGCCCCTCCGGTGTGATTTTAGTGGTCGCCGCGGCAGAGGGCAGCCGCGGCCGCGCGGCCCGCCTGCCCCAGGGCTCGTTTCGATTCCTCCGCTTCGATTCGATTCGACTTCGATGGCTTCCGATTCCGATTCGGTTGGACTTCGGATTCCGATTTGGGCTCCGATTCCTTACTGGAGGCATATCAGCTTGCCGATGTCCGCCGATTCGACTTTTCCCGACTCGGCCGCCGACTTCCGCCGATCCGACTCATTTCGATCGCCGATCCGACTTATCGACTCGATTCAGGGCCCTCCTGCTGCCCAGGAGGAGCAGGAGCTCGTCTCACGGATGCCGTGCGCCACGGCTGGAAGTCTCTTGGTGCAACGCCTGGCGCGCTTCACAAATGGTGTGGCCAGAACGCATTTTCCTTCTCCTCCTCCTCCTCCTCCTCATTTTCCTCCCACGCAGTATTTCACATTGTTTCACACGCGTGTACCTTAGCAGGCGCCTGGGCGCCCCCTCCGCCGCGCCTTCATGGCGCCACGCGTGCGGAGCCGTAGCCGTAGCCGTAGCCGTAGCCGTGGCTCGAACGCTCATGCATGGACATGACACAGCAACACATCGAGGGAGCGGATGCACCGAAAGATTGTTCTTCGGCCGACAGCTGTGAACCAGTTCTTTTGTGTTGCCCGGGCCTTCAATCCAGGAGCGCACATGGATGTAATCGCAGCAACAATAAGAGATCGGAGGACAAGAAGAAGGGCGCAGCCTTCCGCGTTGATGCGACGGCTTTCGAGATGCGGCTCTCTGAGGTTACGGAAAGATGCGTTGGCCTGCCAGTGAGCAATGGACATACCAAACCATACCATACCATTCTGATGTAATCGTTATGCGTTCCGCAGTTGCGTTCGCAAGTGGATTCGGTGGAATACAGCGAGAGGGGGGGTGGGAGTCGAGGGAGGAAGCGAGGGGAGCGGGAGGAGTATTCATCGCTAGCGTGGCACCCCTCTCGATTCTTCAGGTGTTGCGCAAGTTCAGGTCCCGCGCAGCAGACGCACTCGCGGCGGCGATCTGGTCACAGGACATTGCATTCCCAGCTTCTCCACTGTCATTGGGGTGGTGGCGAGGGCGCGTGTTAGGGGCGGCGTGGCCACGCTGAACATCTCGGGCCCCCTGGAAATAGCATTGACAAGATATGCGGCAGACCGCGGTTTGCTTGTGAATCGTCATCCAAAGGATCTGCAAGCGTGATTGACCTCCGACGCATTCGCTGCCAAACGCCACGCCTGGTATCTCTGACTCGCGATTGCGAGAAATTCTCACTCCAGGGCCATCTTTCGGCAAAGTCCTCTCCTCTGGCTGCTCGTTAGCATCTGTCATCTATGCACCCTCGCATCCTTCGAATAGGCGCTGGGCGAACCCCCCGCGAGGGAGGAACTGACGAAACACCCGGGCTCGGACGACGCCGAAAGTGGGCTTATTCTTGTGTGCGCTTGCGAGAAAGAAAATCACCAACACATTATAATATATTCTGGAGTGACACGTCCAGCTTCTCATGGGCAGCACGAGTGCCGAAGTGCAGTTTCTTTCAAGTCATCTGGCGCACTTCAGTACGAAACAGCCCACCCATACAAAGAGGAAATCACCCACATATTCGAATATATGATGAGGTGGCATGTCCAGCTTCTCATGGACAGCACGAGTGCCAGAGTGCAGTTTCTTCCAACTTATCTGGTGCACTTCAATACGAAACAGCCCATCCATACAGTGGGGGCGCGTGCCAAGACACCAGTTGGATTTTGCCAGGGTGCCCTGGGTTTCTTGGATTCTGATGGGCTCCCAGTCAGACCTTGACGATGTTCGATCGACACATGTGGATTTTCACTGAACAGATCGCGTATTTCAGGGTTGGGTTTCTTGCGGAGGTTTCTTGTGGCCGAGCCCCCACCCATACAGAGAGGAAGAGATCAGAGCCCCGAATCATCAGGGGTAACTCGGGTCAGGGATAACTCGGGTTCTTTTCCCGGGAATCCAAACCCGAGTTACCCCGGACCCGAGTTACCCCGGATAACTCGGGCGCCCAGAGCCCCGAATCATCAGGGGTAACTCGGGTCAGGGATAACTCGGGTTCTTTTCCCGGGAATCCAAACCCGAGTTACCCCGGACCCGAGTTACCCCGGATAACTCGGGCGCCCAGAGCCCCGAATCATCAGGGATAACTCGGGTCAGGGCTAACTCGGGTTTCTTTCTCGGGAATCCAAACCCGAGTTACCCCGGACCCGAGCTACCCCGGATAACTCGGGCGCCCAGAGCCCCGAATCATCAGGGATAACTCGGGTCAGGGCTAACTCGGGTTTCTTGCTCGGGAATCCAAACCCGAGTTACCCCGGACCCGAGTTGCCCCGGATAACTCGGGCGCCCAGAGCCCCGAATCATCAGGGACAACTCGGGTCAGGGCTAACTCGGGTTTCTCTCTCGGGAATCCAAACCCGAGTTACCCCGGACCCGAGTTACCCCGGATAACTCGGGCGTCCAAAGAGAGCGGCCACGTTCCTCTTCGAGGCCTTGGCGAGTCGAGGGCGGCACCGCGGCGGATGGCGCAGGGCCGCCCTCCCGGAGGCCCACGGCCGAAGCCGGGGCAATTGCCGCCCGCCAGACCTGTGGCACACCAGAGTGCCGCTTGCCAAACTGCGCTGGAGGGTGATCAAGGGCGCCCTCGAGGGCGCGAAGTTATTCGCGCTCCGCGCTTCGCGGTTCGGCTCCGATTCCTCCTCATCCTCCCCGTCTCCCCTGGGAGGCGGCGCGAGAGCGCGAAGTTATTCGCACTTCGCACTTCGCGCAGCGCGAAGCGCGAAGTTGGGAGCCCTTGGTGATGAACCCATGGATTCGCAGTGGCGCTCGTGGTTTATCAGGAGGGAGAGAAACACACAGACACAATTCATCGTCGACTCCCAGGAAAAGATAGGAAAATATATGGGAAGTGGGGGGGAAGACAGAAACCCAGAAAAGATAGGAAAATATGGGGAATCATTTTATTTGTGCGTATTTGTTTGTGTGTCCTGGAGCCCCTTTAGATTAATGCGGGGAGCGAGAGGAAAAAGCAAGGGGCGCACAGAGAGCTGGTGGGCGGGCGGCCTCAGCAGCTCGCGCTGCCCTGCAATCGTGAGGTTGCCGTGGCCTCGCGGGGTGGTCGTTTGCGCGCCTTGGCCCGTCGGGTGGGCAGCGAAGCGGTGGTGGCCTTGGCGTTTCGCTTTTTTTATACATATATATATATATATACATATATATATATATATATATATATATATATATGTATACATACACACGCATTGGGGTGGCAACCGGGGTGCGCCGGATTTGCCCAAGACGGCGGCGCTGATCGAAGACGGAATTGGCCGCGGCCGATGGGGCGGGCGAAGACGCCATTCCATCCGAAGACACAGTTGTCAATTGCCCAACCAAGCGGGGCAGACGCAAATGCGCTTGAAGACGCTATCCCAATTGAAGGCGCAGATGCGCCCGAAGACGGAAAAGGCGCTTGGAGGCGCTATCCTCGGCGAAGACGCTATTCCGACTGGGGTTGGCGCCCGCGAATTCCTGCGCGGGCGGTGCCTGGGCGCAGACGCACTTCGCGTCGAAAGCGCGAACCATTGCGAAGGCGCTCGTTTTTCGAAGACGCCATTCCCGGTGAACACGCTGTCCCCTCTGGAGATGCAATTCCTGGCGAAGACGCCATTCCCAGTGAAAGGGGTATTCCAGGGGAGACGCTATCCCCGATGAGCACGCATTTCCCGGCGACGACGCCAGTCCATGTGAAGGCGCCATTCCCGGCAAATGCGCCATTCCTGGTGAAAACGCTACTCCCCCCAATATGCGATTCCCGGCGAAAACGCTATCCCCCCCGAGTATGAGATTCCCGGTGAAAGCGCTATCCCCCCCGAAGCCGCTATTCCCCACGAAGGCGCCCTTCCCCGCGAAAACGCTATCCCCTCGAAAACGCTGTTCCCTCCGAAGCTGCCACTGCTTCCGAAGACGCTATTCCTTCCGAGGGCGCAGTTCCCCGCGAGGGCGCTATCCCCGCCGAAGACGCTATACCCTCCCAAGGACGCCGTTGCTCCCGAAGACGCTATTGCCTCCGAGGGCGTTATTCCCCTCGAGGACGGCTTGCTCAGCGAAGGCGCGATTATTCCCGACGAGGACCCCGCGGCTGCCATTGCCAGCGCCCCGCGCCGCGCGCATGGACCTCGTAGCCAGCGCCGCAGAGCCAGCACCTCGTAGCATGCGCCACATGGGTCCTAGCGCCACCCAGATTGCGCCGCGTAGCTTGCACTGCGCAGCCTGCGCCGGCGCGCCAATATTTGCACTGCGTAACTCGCTTACTCAGCCGCCCCCCCAAATGCCTATTCCAACAGCCAAGATAGATTAACGCATGAGAGCTTCTGTCGGCCACGCGCAGAGCGGAGGAGGGGGAGGGGGGACGGCTTCTTAAAAGCACCCCTGCTTCTTAGAAGGCGCGGGCCTCGTCTGCAGATGTAAGGCTGGCGCCTTCTAGGGAGAGCCTCCTTCTAAGAAACCTTCCCCCCTCCCCCTGCCCCTCCGTGCGCGCCGCCACAGTTCTGAGGCGGAAGCTCCAGCTCATGGAATTTAGCGAAGCGCTTCCGCGGCGGAAGCTCCTGCAATCCTTGAGGGAGGTGTCTTTGCATCAGCCGTTGTCTTGCTTGTTTTGCAGCATCCCTACTTGTCTTGCTTGCGACGTCGCGTCTCGGCTCGCCTCATTACCATCATTCATGATCCAGTTTCGGTTCATCTCAACCTCCTCGCCCTCGCCCTCCTCCTTCGCGTTCACTCTTGCGACCCACTCGCACACAGATTTGCCCCGTGAGGCTCACGAGCCCGATGGGCCCTATGAGACCTCCGAGGCGCATGAGCCCGTTTGGCCCGATGAGTCCTTAGGCTCCATGAGCTCCGCGAGGCATGCGACCCCTATGAACCCTTTGTGCCCATGAGCCCCACGAGCCCTCGGAGGCCCATGGGCCCCATGAGCCCGATGAGCCCGATGGGCCCTGCCTGCAAGCCTGTTGACGCCCCTATGAGCCCTGCGAGCTGTCCGAGTCTTTGGGGCCCACGACCTGACATCCGACCGTCGATTCTCGACCCTCGACCCTCGACCCTCGACCCTCGAGCTGAACGATCCCGACCCTGGGTTGACCCTAAAGGCAGTTACAGAGGTTCAAGAATGGAGGATGCAGGAGGAGGAGGAGGAGGAGGACGAGGAGAAGGAGGATGAGAAGGAGAAGGAGGAGGAAGAGCGAGGAGGAGGAGGAGGAGGATGAGGAGGAGGAGAGAGGAGGAGGAGGAGGAGGAGGAGGAGGAGGAGGAGGAGGTGAGGAGGAGGAGGAGGAGGAGGAGGAGGAGAGTAGCAACAGCAGCAGCCCACGAGGACCTCATCGTCGGCCAGGCCGCGCGCGGGGTCCGCCCCCTGCCCAGGGCCGGCGGGCGGAGGACCCCGCCACATGGGGGACAGCGACCGCGCCGACGACGCGGCAGGTCCAGGCGGAGGGTGCCCTTCGAGGTCGTACTCCAGCGATCGGTCCTTCGAGGTCGTACTCCTTCGAGGTTGTACTCCTTCGAGGTCGTACTCCTTCGAGGTCGTACTCCAGGCGAGGTGCGGAGGGTGCCCTTCGGTCAGGAACGTCCCCAGAGATCCGACGCTCCAACGAACAGTGGGGCCGGCGGCCTTGGGCTGTCTTCGGCCTCCGGGGGCCTTCGGCCTGGCCCCGGGACCGTCCAAGGATGGCCCCGGACGAGAAGCTGGCCCTACAGTCGGGGCCCTGAAGAAGGAACCCTTTTCGTTGGGGAGGTGCTCGGTGTTCCTTGAGTGTTTCACAGCTTGCCTCGGGTTTCCCTCAGGTTTTTGTACGGGAGATCGAAGTTTAACTTATGGAAAAGAGGGGCCTCGTTCCTTATTTGGGGTTCCTTAGGTCAACGCCCCGACTGTATTGAAGTGCGCCAGATGAGTTGGAAGAAACTGCACTCTGGCAATCGTGCTGCCCATGAGAAGCTGGACGTGCCACTTCAGAATATATTATAACTTATGGAAGAAAAATGGGCCTCGTTCCTTATTTAGGGTTCCTTAGGTCAACGCCCCGACTGTATAGAGGGAAGTGGTGCGGACCTCTGGGGCCCACGCTTCGAGAACACACCCGGGCGGCCGGGTGTCCGGGCGAAGGCGTGCGGGGTGTTCAGGCGCATCCGCTTCCCTCAGGCGAGGAAAAAACACACAGACACAATCCATCCTCGATTCCCCGAAAAAATATGGGAAGATGTGGGAAGTGGGGGGGGGGGGAGACAGAAACCCTGAAAATATGGGAACATATGGGGAATCTGTTTCTTTGTGTGTGTATTCATTTGTGTGTCCTGGGGCCCCTTCATTCTCGGCGGCTGCCCGGCCTCGGGGTGTGCCTCCGGCGCTGCTGAGCACGCCGAGAGCGCGCCGAGGGTGCCCAGGTCGTCCCGCTGGGCCGCCGGAGAGGTATGTGGCCCGACAACCGAGGTCAGGGCCCATTCCTCCTCGTCCTCCTCCCTCCTCCTCCTCCTCCTCTCCTCCTCCTCCTCCTCCTCCATCTCCCCTCCCTCCTCCTCCTCCTCCTCCTCCTCCTCCCTCCTCCTCCTCCTCCTCCTCCCCTCCTCCTCCTCCTCCCCCTCCTCCTCCTCCTCCGCCTCCTCCTCCTCCTCCTCCTCCCCTCCTCCTCCTCCTCCTCCTCCTCCCTCCTCCTCCTCCTCCTCCTCCTCCTCCCCCTCCCCTCCTCCTTTCCTCCTCCTCCTCCCCCTCCTCCTCCTCCTCCTCCTCCTCCTCCTTCTCCTTTGCGATCGGATCGATCCGATTTAAAGATCGATCCCGGCCTGCCTGGTCCGATTGGATTCCGACTTTCGGGAGATCCTCTGCGGCCCAACGCTTGCACTGCGCGGTTGTGCATCCTTGCGCGGCCGATGCGATTCGATCCCGACTTCATGGCGACTGGGCCCGACGCGACGCTCGTTCCGATTCGAGCCCTGTTCGATGCCGACCGATCCCGCTCTCGCGCCGCCTCGGGGGGGGCCCTTGCCCCGGGCCACGGGGCCGACAGCCAGCACCGCCCGGGACGAGAAGGTAACCCCGGCGGGAAGGGGTCGCGACATCTCCGGGGTCCACGTGGTTCGGGGGCGGCAAGGAGGGGGGTGATGACCAGGGGGGGGGGGGGGGGAGATCACGGCGTGGGCCATGCTATTTCCTCAGACCTCATGGCGCCTCTTCTTATTTCATTGCGTCCCTGGCCCCCCCGCTGGGCCGCGCGCATGCCGCCAGTCATGATTTGCACACCCCCCTCTTGGGCATCCCCCTCTTGGCCGCTCCCGATCCACGTGGTGAAGCAGTCGCGCGGTGGGGATCCCTGCGGCAGGGGTTCGGGGGCGGCCAGGAGGGGGGTGATAACTACCTAGGAGAGGGGGTGGCTATCATGGCGGGGGCCACGATGTGCACGATGTCTCCCCAGATCTCATGGCGCCTCGTCCCGTTTCGAGACGCCCCCTGCCCCCCCCTCCCCCCCCGAGGTCGCGCGCACGCCGCCGGCCATGATTTGCGCACCCCCCTCTTGGACGCCAGGGCTGGACCTGAACGCTGTTTTGCTGGACGCCGGCTGTGTTCTGTTTTTCGTGCTAGCGGGGAGGTGCAGGAGAGTACAGAACGAAGAACAGAGCGAAGACATGACGAAAACCAAAGTTTAGGTCCAGCCCTGCTGGACTGGGGGAACAAAAAGTGGCATAAACATAAAAACTCGGAGGTCCGTGCGGATTTCTCGGATCGGCGCTGGGGACTCCGGCGGCGCCTCCGGCGCTGCCCCTGGCGCGCTCCGCGCGCCAGAGAGGGGGTCCAGCGCCGATCCGAGAAATCCGCGCGGACCTCCGAGTTGTTATGTTTATGTCACTTTTCAGGAGGGGAAAAAACACACAGACACAATTAATCGTCGATTCCCAGAAAATATGCGAAAATATGGGAAGTGGGGGGAAGACACAAACCCAGAACATATGGGGAAATATGGGGAATCTTTTTATTTGTGTGCATTCATTTGTGTGTCCGGGGGCCCCTTCAACTTTTTGTTCCCCTATGGACGCCCCCCTCGCGGCTGCCCCCCGAGGGGCGTGCGCGGCGGGGGCGAAACTGCGCGCGGGAGGCCGCGCGCCCTGGCGTGCCTGCAGCACGGCGGCCGGCAGGCCGCCACCGTCGCTGCCCGCCTCCGCTCCCCACTGCTCCTCCGCTCCACTCGCCTTTCAATCAGGAGGGGAAACAACACACAGACACAATTAATCGTCGATCCCCAAGAAAATATGGGAAAATATGAGAAGTGGGAGAGAAAAACCAGGAAAATATTGGAAAATATTGGGAATTCTTTTATTTGTGTGTATATATATATGTGTGTGTGTGTGTGTGTGTGTGTGTGTGTGTGTGTGTGTGTGTCTTGGGGCCCCTTGATTCAAGTCGGGCGTGGCCCTCTACAGGGGGAATATTTCGGCGGCGGGCGACGGGGGGAAATGAGAAGGAGAAGGCCTTCTCAGAAGGCGGCGGGACTCCTCAGAAGCCCTCGCGCGCCTTCTGAGGAGCTTTCTCTGTCTTCGGGGAAGGCTCAGGAAACTTCTCAGAAGGCCAGGGAACTTCAGGGACTTCTGAGAAGGCCCGCCCCTTCTCACTTCCCCCCCCCTCGCTCGCCGCCGAATATTCAAAAAGAGTCAAAATAATAGAATAGTTAGTGGGACGATGTTTCGACTATCCTTGGATCATGTTTGAATCTTGTTGGACTGTCTTTGGTTTTTCCTCCAGAGTCCGCCCGTAGGGGGCCGTGCCCGACCTAACAGACTCGCCCCCCGCTCTCCTCCCCCTTGGCCTCTGGTGCGGCGTGCGCCGTCTCGGCCGCGCACGTCTCCCAGCAGGAAGACGACAACGTTCGACATAATTGGAGGAGGAGGAGGAGGGGAGGAGGAGGAGGAGGAGGAGGAGGAGGAGGAGAAGGAGGAGGAGGAGGGGTTGCTTTCGTCCGTGATTATCTCTGCAGCATGGATGTTACCCCGCCCAACAGATTGCCACCGTTGGGCATGAAGCAGATCGTTGGCAGGCATACCATCATGCATGCTCATACCATTGCGTTTGCATAGTCGTTATGCCGTGCGTTCCCGCTTGAAACGTAATACAATTGCGCGTAGTCGAGGAAGGTGTGTATACGTATTGCCGTTTGTACCTCGATGCGTGTATCCGCCATGTGCGGTACTCCGGAGGCGGCGGGGCTTCTCCGGAGGCGGCGGGGCTCCTCGGAAGCCCCTCGCGCCTCCCGAGGAGCTTCCTGTGCCGAAGGGGGGGGCTCAGAAGGCTTCTCAGAAGGCCAGGGGGCTTCCGAGCCTTCTGAGAAGGCCCGCCCCTTCTCACTTCCCCCCCGGGCTCGCCGCCGACTCAAATGGTCGACGCCCCAAGGAGTACCGCACATGGCGGATACACGCATCGAGGTACACACAGGCAATTGCCTTCCTCGACCTAGTACCGCACATGGCGGATACACGCATCGAGGAAGGTAATCCATTGCCGTGCGTTGCCGTTACGAGGAAGGAGGAGGGCGGAGGCGGGTCTCAGTTGAGGGGGTGGAGCCGAGGCGCATGACGGGGCGCCTGCGTTGTGTCGAGTTGCCCTGGCCTTATCTGGTGGCAGCATGCGCTCGAATCCCGACGGGTCTCTCCTCGGAGGCCCTCTCGGGAGCCCTCTGGACACTCTTGGGGCCATCCAGGCGGAGGAGGTGGAGGAGGAGGAGGAGGAGGAGGAGGAGGAGGAGGAAGTAGGGAGGCAGGGAGGAGGTAGGGAGAAGGTTCGAGGATCGAGGGGTCGAGGATCGAGAGGTTGAGGGGTCGAGGATCGAGGATCGAGAGGTCGAGAGAGGAGGTAGGGAGGTAGGGAGAGGGTTCGAGGGTCGAGGAGCGAGGGGTCGAGGGGTCGAGGATCGAGGGGTAGAGGATCGAGGGGTAGGATCGAGGGGTCGAGGATTGAGGCAGGGAGGAGGTAGGGAGAAGGTTCGAGGGCTCGAGGGGTCGAGGATCGAGGGTCGAAGGGTCGAGGGATGGAGGGGTCCAGGGGCCGAGGGGCCAACAAAAAGAGGGCGTCGTTTCCCCCCCCCTCCTCCCTCCTCCCACCCCCCTCGTCCCCCTTCCCCATCCTCCTCCTCCTCCTCCTTCTCCTCCTCCTTCTCCTTCTCCTTCTCCTGCTCCTCCTCCCCCTCATCGTCCCCCCCCTCCTCCTCCCCCTCCTCCTCCTCCTCCTCCTCCTCCTGCTCCTCCTCCTCGCCCTCCCCATCCTCCCCCTCCTGCTCCTCCTCCCCCTCCTCCGCCTTCTCCTCCTCCTCCTCCTCCTCCTCCTCCTCCTCCTCCTCTTCCTCCTGCTCCCTCCTCCTGCTCCCCAGCACCACCACGCCACCCTGGTCCAGCCGTAGCCCACCGCTAAGCTGTGTACCCCAGCGCGCTCCCGCCGCCCCCCCCCCCCCCCCCCCTCTGTGTGGGACGCCGACAGATGGCTCTTGGGGCCCTCTCGGAACGCTCTTTGGGGCCGTCTCGGAGCCATGGTGGGCCCGTCTCGGGGCTCTCTTGGGCGACATTGGAACCACCCTGAGGCTACAGAAACCCATCGGAAGCGAACGGAGCTCCAAGGCCACTCGAAGCCGCCTTGCGGCGGTCCTGGGGCCTCTTGGAGACACAGTGGAAGCAATCTTGAGCCTTAGTGAAATAAATAGTGTCATATCGGAGGTTGACACCTCGCGAAACCATGGTCTCGGTCGGGTGGAGGAGGGGGGGTCATCCATGATTATTGAAGAGTGGCCAGCCCATCCCCGAAGTGGAAGAAACAGGCGGGAATAATCGTATTTCGAGAACGGCCCACACCCAGAGGGCCAGTGGGATTATCGATCGACCGTCTCGGCAATCCCGTGGCGCCCGCCTCCCTCTGGTGCCCGCAACCCGCTCCCCCTTACGCCTGGAGGCGGGGGAGGAGGGGACACGCCCGGCTCTCTCAGGGCATCCGGGTCCAAGGGCGCGACATCTACATAACCGACTGCGACGACTTCACCCGCGATTACTACCGGACCGAGCTGTCCATGGTGCAGGACAAGCTCGTCATCGAGGAGCGCGTGGCCCGCCGAAGGGAAGGGGGGAGGAGGGGTCGCAGGAAGGAGCTGGGGTCCCGAGCGAAAGGCTGGGCTGCACCCGGGGGAGCCAAGATCGACGAGACTCGCGCCTCGCGCGTCCCGCCTCCTCCTCCTCCTCCTCCTCCTCCTCCTCCTCCTCCTCCTCCTCCTCCTCCTCCTCCTCCTCCTCCTCCTCCTCCCCCGTCCCGCGTGGCCGTGCGACGGCGCGAAGATGGCGGCGCATCGCGCAGGGGCGCGGCCCGTGAAGTCCGGCGGGCCGGGCAGCTGGTCCCGAGGCCGCTCGCCGTCTCGCGGCCTCCCGAGGCCCCTCCATGGGCCCCAGGGCTTCCATCCCGAACCAGGTTCCCTCCAGACAGGTTCCGTATGCCGCGGAGGCCTCGTTGGTCCTTCTGTCCTTCTGCCAGGGAGGAGGTGAGGTGAAGGAAGAGCGGCAGGCAGGTTTTTTCTGAAGGAGCCTTGCTGGTTGTTGGGGGGGGGGGGCGTCGTCTCCACGTCCGCGCCCTCGTCCCCCGTCGCCTTCCTCGCGGGCAAGCCGCGCGAATTGATCCAGCGCCTCGGCGAGGCGCGCGCGTCGCGCCCGCTCGAGGTCTGGATCGCGAGCCCGATCCGCCCATCGCAAAGTGAACCCTGCACCCATCCCCGATACCATTATTTGATAATCGCCCGAAGGGTGGCCTTACAGGCGCATGCGCACACATGGAATTCTGTATTATTATACGTAGCACCCAGCAGGCGCAGCTAAGAGTGAGGGGGCGGCGGGGGCGTCGGCAGCCTGCGAGGCTCTGAAGAAGCCCGCCGCAGGCGCCTAATTCTTACAAGTTCTACAACGAGCCCGCCGCAGGCGCCGATTTTTCGTGAAAGCAGTGTGGGTGGGTGGCGGAGTGGGTGGCGGGTGGGTCGCGGGTGGGTCGCGGGTGGGTCGCGGAGTGGGTCACGGGTGAGTCGCGGAGTGGGTCGCGGGCGGGTCGTGGGGTGGGTTGCGGGTGGGTCGCGGGCAGGGTCGCGGGGGGGACGACGCCAAACACGAGCAACAACAATAATATCATTAATCATCATTAATAACAAAAACAACAACACCAGCAATAACCACAACCACAATCACATCCATAACAGCAAAACCACCAACAACAAACACACAAACAAAAAACAAGCAAGCAAGCAAGCAAGCAAACAACCAACCAACCAACCAACCACAACAACAACAACGCCAACAACAATAATCCTCATCGTGGAGTCCCCTGTCAGCCACGCACCCAGGGACAGTGAATGACCGTTCGGCCCCCTCATTCTGATATAGATAGGGAGAGTGAGAGAGAGATGGGGAGAGTGGGCGAGAGAGAGAGAGAGAGAAAAATACAAAGAGAAAGAGAGAGAGTGAGAGAGAGAGAGAGAGAGAAAGAGAGCGAGAGAGAAAGAGAGGGGGAGAGAGCGTGAACTATTGAGTAGAAGAAGAGGAGAGGAGAAAGAGATAACAAGAGAGAGCGAGAGACAAAGACAAAGAGAGAGAGAGAAGTAACGAACAAATGCACGATAAGGGGAGAGAGAGAGAGAGAGAGAGAGACACAGAGAAAGAAGAGACGTGGAAATTTGGAAGTATAGCGAAACAGAGACCATACATAAAGCGCGGCGGAGAGTGGTGGACAGATCCACCAAACAGTGTTTGCCCTTAGTGGTTCCCGCTTCTCCTCTCAGGGGCTGGGCCTGTCTGCCAGTCTGGCGGCTGCATTGCCGCCGTCGCCGCCCCGTCGCCGCCTCGTCGCTGCCCGTCGTCTGGGACTGTCTGCTGGTCTGGTGGCTATGTTGCCGCCGTCGCTTCCCGTCGCCGCGTCGGCGCCGCCTGCCGTCTGGGCCCGCCTGCTGGTCAGGCGGCTGTGTTGCTGCCGTCGCCGCCCCGTCGCCGCCTCGTCGCCGCCTCGCCGCCACGCGGAACATTGATTGCACAGCCTGGCTTCTCATTGCTTTGTTTGTTCCAAGAAGAAATTTGGATCTCCCCCTCGGACTTATCGGTTCCCCTGTGGCTATTGCAAGTTACATGTGGTCTTTCCCCAGCGTTTCTTTAGTCATGGATTCAGATCATCCCAGGTGAATCCCGCATCGCAGCCCCACGCCCCGCTCTCATCCCTGGCAAATAACAGCAAGGGTAATGATATCACGAATACGAGTAATATCAATAATGCGCGCACGTTCGTGCACCACACATCGTCAGTTGCCAATATTCCCTTGTAAACGATTTGACAAAGTAGACGCGCGCGCGACAGCGCGCGCATGCCGAAATCATCCAACAAATCAAAAGTGTCGCACGGCTTTGAATATCGATTGCAACATGTTTTGTCGAAAAAAGTCCTGCGCGCTCTGTCGAGTTCCTACGACAATTACGGGTTGTCCAACATGTTCATCCGATGCGACCAAGCTGGTTCTCGCGCGCGCATGTCGGAATCAATTGGGCGCCCTTGTGCGCGTGCTGAGGGGTTCGCGATCCCGGACAAATAATGCCATCGGGCCACTCGCGCCCGTCGGCCGCGCGCCCGTGTCGAAATCCCTCCAACACCTTCATCGCCAAACAGTGGACACCATCATCTTCATCGGCGCGATCAGCATTGGAGCTGTCATTGGTCTTGTCGTCGTCATTGTCACCAGTGTCGCCAGCATCGCTCCTATCATCATCGTGTCTGCCTTTGCCGACGTCGCCATGATACCGCGCCTGTCCGAGCCACCGGCTCGCACTGAGTGCCTGCGCGTCAGTGAGGCTTGCGAGACGCGCAGGGAAGTCCCCAGCGATCAGCGCCACCGCGGCCGCGTCGGTCGCGCCAGACAAGCGGGCCGTTCTGCGCGCGAGCCCGCGCGCGCCAGCGCGGCCGCAGAGATGTGCCAACCAGCGCCAAGCAGTCATCGCCGTCGCCGCCGCGTGGGTTTTGCAAACCAAGTCGCGCGTGGGCGGGTAAGATGATTGCGCGAGCAGTAGAATTGACAACTCACGGATGAGCAGTAGTTACATGCACCACATAGGTTGTGCGACATAAGTTCTCTGTTCTACGATCGTATTCGGATCTACCCCCCCCGCCCCAGGTCAACGGCACACCTTTCCGGATTGCACGGGTTGTAATTTATGCACGATTCAGCCCAATCGTCCATCCTAAGTATGAGCTCGCACCATCCGAGGCAGGCTGGCATGCTGGCCTCGCCCTCCCCCCAAAAAAAAAAACGCTCATCCCTTGCAACGAATTCTATGCGCGCGCTCGTTTACCAAGCATTAACAGTTTTCGGGCATCCCATGCCAAACATGGAACGAAGTGTAATTACACGCGCGCGTCGTCGAGCGCGCATGCGGGAATCGTTCAAAGACTTCCGGTGTCGCAAGGATTTCAAAATCGGGTGTATGGAAAGCACGTTGAAATAGTTGGTTTCGCAGGACGGGTTTTCAAAACAAGTCTGGGTCCGCGCTCGTGCGAATCAATCTAAAAAACCATGGGCTTTCAACGTTGGCGTCGCGTGCCACCCAATGGGCCTCTCGCGTGCGCGCGCGTCGGAATCGCTCGAGCGCCCTTGCGCGCGCGCCGTCGCAATGACCCTCTGCAACAAGCGGGGCGACGCGCGCGCGCCGTCGCGCGTGCGCCTCCTTCAGAACCTTTGGGCTGTCGCAGGGGTTTCAAAAACGAACGACCCCTAAGCATATGAAGGCGCATGGCTTTGCAGCGCCAGTTTTCAAAACAGCCTGCGCTCGCGGTCTCGCGGACCCTTAAGAAAACCATAGAGCACTGCAGCATGTTCGTCAAACTCTGCCACGCGGGCCTCTCGGGCCGCATGTCGAACTCACTCGAGCGCCCTTGCGCTCGTGCCGGAGGGGGGGGGGCGGAGCGTGATCCGCGTCGAATGCCGCCGCGCGGGCCATTCGCGCGCGTCGGCCGCGCGCGCGCATGTCGAATTCCTTCAGAAACCTTCGTCGCAGACGCGAGGACATCGCCATCGTTGTCGGTGGGCGTGATCCACGTCGGCGCCGCTATTGGTTTCGACGTCGTCATCGCCGCCGTCGTCGCCATCGTCGATGACCTCATCATCGCGACTGCCGCCGTCGGTGTCGCCATGATTCCGCGCCCGCCCAAGTTGCCAACCCGCGCTGAATTGCCCGCTGGGAAGTGCTCGGCGGCCATCGCCACCGCGGCCGCGTCGGTCGCGCCAAACTAGCCGGCCGCTGCGCGCGCGAGCATGCGCGGGCTAGCGCGATCGCAGCGATGCACCAGCCAACGCCGAGCATTCATCGCAGTCGCCGCCGCGCGGGCTCCGCAAACCAAGTTGCGGGCGAGTGGGCGGGGCGTTTGCAAGGGCATGGAAGTTGCCAACTCGTTTGTAAACTTTCGTCGCACATCGTGCGTTCTTTTCTTCTAGAGCGGAATTCGGACCCGCCGCCCCTCCGGAATTGCCCGCGCCCCTTGGGGGCGTGCATTTTGCCCGTGATCTTGCCCCATCGCCCGCTCTAAATATGAATTCGCTTCGCCCTGGCCGCGCCGGCCTCGCCCCCCCCCCCCCGCGGCCGTCGTCTATCTGAGTGCGCGATTTCTTGTCCCGCTCCCCCATCGCCCTCCTCTCGCCCCGGCGGGGGCTCTCTCCCCGCCCCCCTGCTTTGCCGCCTCCTCGCTCGCCGCCCCCGCCCGCCCCCCCCCCGCCCCTCTAGCAAGGGCGCGCAAGTAGATGTCCCTCGGCTCCGTCGCTGCCGCGGCTGGAAGGGGCGCGTTCGCGAAGCCGTTGGGGCAGCCCCGCGGGCCGGGCCGTTGGGGCGACCCCGCGGGCCGCCGGGGCGCGGGGGGAAGCCGCGGGGACAGCCCCGCGGGCCTCGAACGGGGCGCCGCCGCGCTTGGGCGGAGGGCGGTTCGCGGCCAAGGTCTTCCGCGAGCTGCTCCGCCTCGGCCGTGGAGCTGCCCGCTCTCTCGTCGAACTCCCCGAGCGTCTTCCGCGGGGGGCGCCGGCGGCCCGCGCCCCAG